CCGCGGCTGGCCACCCATGTGCTCTGACACCACACCTATTACTGTGGCCGCGGCTGGCCACCCATGTGCTCTGACACCACACCTATTACTGTGGCAGCGCCTGGCCACCCATGTGCTCTGCGCTGCCACCAGAGTGCCGCTCAGCTGCAGATGGCATGTGTCAGGGTATATCGGCACACGATTCCACCTGGCGTCTTGCTCTCCTTTGGAAATATACCATGGCCAGGTGTGATGTCACACGCCTTTAACTCGGCACTTGGGAGTCAGAGGCAGGTGGATTGCTTGTAGGTTTGAGGCCAGCCTGGTCTACATAATAGGTTCCAAGATGGCCAAGGTTGTTGAGAGACTCTGTCTCAAAAAACCACAAACAAACCCATGCCATCACTTTAGGCCTGCAGCTTGGGGACACAGTCTTGCACGAGTCCCTGCAGTCATTCTGCTGCATGGTGAGGATTAAAGCCATTCACCAGAAAGGCCTGCCTGGGGAAGACCACCATGTTTACAAGTGAAACTTTCTCTGCTAGGTTTGGGTCACACTGTTGGATATAGTGAGCCTGGACATGTGTTCCTGTTGGGAGAACTGGCATTCATCAGTGATAGTGGTGCACACATGTAAGGTGCTATTCTAGCCCAGTAGTCAGTCACTTGTCTCCGTTTCACTGTCTTCAGATGGAAAACTGTCAGCTTCATAGAATTAGCATTTGAAAACAGAGGCACACACTTGCACTCAGAAGCATGGCCATCTTCGAATCATAGCTGTGCTATCACCATCAACATGCCTGTTGCAGTTCTAGAGTAAGCCGTGCAGCTGGCCTGCTTATTCTACCAGAGATGCAGGAACTATCCTTCAGGGTTGCATTGAACATGCCTACTTTCTTGCGTTTGGGCCGGTATTTATTAGTTAAGTAGCAATAGTAGACCATACTGCTTGAGTTATTTCCTGTTAAGTCCTTTAAATATAGTGCTGGCAAAAACTTAAAGGGTTCAAGCATGTTGCTATGAATACAGTGAACCATTCTTGGCTGGCGCTCGGTCTCTCTCTCGTTCTCTCTCTTTCTTTTGTGATTGTTGAGATGGCTTCATGCAGTATAGCCCAGGCTAGTGATCCTCCTGTGACAGTCTCCCGAGTGCCTCCATGATTACTTTCACCTGGTATTGACGTCTCACATTTGACTGACGTGTCACCCATTGACAGATGGTCTGGGAGGAGACTGGTGGCTGCTCTGGGTCCTCCGTCACTGCTGGGCTCCTCCATTCACATCCTTGTGCCCACCGTGCTGCTACGCTCCAGAACTGTCTGGTCTAGAAGGCTTAATACCAGCTTCTAATTTTTTAAAAAAGTATTTATTTTAGCCAAGGCGGTGGTGGCACATGCCTTTAATCCCAGCACTCAGGAGGCAGAGGCAGGCGGATCTCTGTGAGTTCGAGGCCAGCCTGGTCTACACAGCTAGTTCTAGGACAGCCAGGGCTGTTACACAGAGAAACCCTGTCTCAAAAACCAAAAACAAACAAAAGATAATATTTATTTTTATTTTATGTGCATTGATGTTTTGCCTGCATATCTGTGAGGGTGTCAGATTCTCTGGAACTGGAGTTACAGACCGTTGTGAGCTGCCATGTGGGTGCTGGGAATTGAACCTGGGCCCTCTGAAAGAACAGTCAGTGCTCTTAACCACTGAGCCATCTCTCTAGCCCGCAGCTTTTAAGTTTTGAAAAGTGGTAAGGTGACTCTTGGGTTCTTAAGTTTCTAAACTCCTTTGATATCTTCAGTAGCTCCTTATACTTTCCTTGGCTTGCATTCCTCTTGGTGCGTGGGGGGAGGGGGATGCCCAGTGTTAGCCCCTGTGTCTGCCTCCTGTCCCTGAATACCTGTCCCACAGTGAAGCCCTGAAATGGCACCTGGAACCTTGGTAGGGTGGCCTCAGGTTGTTAGGTAGCTTCATCTAGGACCGCTTTGGTCCTGAGACTGCGCAGATGAGGGTGTTCAGAGAACGTGTGTCGCCACCCCAGAACCTGCTTTGTCTCTGAATCCAGGAAATCCAGGAAAAAGCTTATATGGAAAGGTCATGTGAATCTAGGCTGCCAACTCCCTCATTCCTGGCACCCTGAGAAGGGTGACCACAGTAAAGCTGAGTTGATCCAGGGTCCTGTTAGGTTGGAGATACTGTGGGACAGGTTCCAATCTGCTTGGAGCCTCCGTAGGATGCTTCAGGGCCTTGTCTGTTGCTGTTGACTCCAGCAAGTAGAGCAGTGTGGGCAGGGCTCCCCAGGGGAGTGCCAGGGCAGCATCTGTATCAGGAAAAGCTGAACGGCGGTGTGGTGGGCTCCTTCTTGGTCTTCACTTGTTACATTGTCACATTCAAAGTCAACTGCTGTGGTGTTCTGGAGGCCAGAGGTTGAGGCAAGTCATCTTAGTATGTCCCCAATGGGAAGCCACGGCCAGCTCACCTGGCCAGCCTGTTCTCTCTGCCGCTTTCTCTCTCTCTCTCTCTCTCTCTCTCTCTCTCTCTCTCTCTCTCTCTCTCTCTCTTC